TTTGCTTAAAGGAAGATTGCATCCACATTAGAGTCAGGTATTTTTATGTTCCAGTGATGAACTGAGATTATTGTCTTTGAGCTCTCCCTAGGAGATAAGGACTCTGACCCTGAGATAACATCAAGGATTTGAAGCTCATCAGTCCACCAACTGCAGACTCCATGACACCAAAGTACCCAGACCCTGATATCTGACTCAGGCCTTCTGCTGATCCCATGAGCAGCCTCCCCCTTTGCTTGCAGGACAAAATCCTTTCCTCACCTTCCTGTCTCTTCCCCTTTATAAACCCCAGAACAGGCATCAGAAGGTGGGATGATTTTAGCCTGGTCAATCCCAGATGCCAGTTATCTGAATAAAGCTTCCAATCCTTGCACCAACTTTTATACTTTCAGCTCATTTGTTTAGGGCAAGCCAAGCCTATTGATGGTAACTGCTTAACAACAGGGATAACTTCTCAGAAATGCATTATTAGATGATTTCATCATTATGCAAACATCACGGAGTGTACTTACATAAACCAAGATGGTATAGCCTACTATACACCTAGGCTATATGGTATAGCCTAAGCTCCTAGGCTACAAACCTGTATAGCATGCTACTGTACTGAGTACTATAGGCAATTTTAACACAATGGTATTTGTGTATCTAAACACAGAAAAGTTACAGATTATAATCATATGGGACCACCATCTTCTATGCGGTCTGCATCGCTGACTGTATAATTGTTTATTACAAGAGCTTTAAGCAAAGGTGGCAGCCCCAAGGGATGGTCAGAAACCTACCTCCCTAAATTCACCTTCATTTAAAAAGGCTGATATGCAAATTGATCTCAATCTTACATAAAGTGTAGTCAAAGGCATCCTTAGACAACCATGTTTTCCGTAATTTCTAACATTAGTTTGTATTAAACAGTGCAAACATAGATCTTATGCCACCCCAACCTTTTCCTCTCTAATGTCTAAGGACCTCCTGTATAGAAATTGTCTACTACAGAGGGGTTTTGTGATGCTATTTGTACTTTAGAAAGATTACTGAACTGTTGAGTGGGGGAGAATGGGTTGTAGGGTGCAAAGGCAGACATGGAGAGCTCATTAAAAGCCTTTTGAAAAAGCACCAGGAGAGACTCAGAACCTTGGCACTGAGGATGAAAAGCACAGCTCCAAGAAATATTTTGGAAGTCAATTACATTCTTGGTGATAATTGAATCTGGGGATTGAGAGAGGTAGGAATCATAAAACAATGCCGGGGTTTCTGGCTGGGGCAAGTGGATAGGTGGCAGTGCCATAATGAGAGGGCGATGTAAAAGGAAGTGAAAATTTGTGGATAGTATGACAAATTTTGTAAACCCACCTGATGGAAATGGCAAGTTAGTAAAGGTCTGCAATCAGGAGATCGGAATAAATCTGGAAGTCACTGGCTGATAGGTACTAACTGAAGCTACAGGGAGGATGAAATCATCCAAGAATACTGTAACATGAGAAAAGAAGAATGCTTAGGACCGGACTTTGAAAAACACCAATACTTACAGATTAGGTTAAAAATAAATAAAAAAAAGAGGCCCACAATTGAGGAGGAACATCATAAAGATAGAAAGCAAGTTATTGTGTCCTAGATGCCTAAAGGTTTTCAATATTGGTGTCACTTGACAGTGTCATATATTGCCAGAGGACAAGCTAAAATGAAGTGTCTACTGGACTTACTGACATATAGATCATTGGTGACTCAAGTAAGGGCCATTGTATATAGTGGGGGCAGAACCCATAGTGGGTTGGAAGAGCAAATACGAGGTAATAAGGAAATGAAAAAAAAAATGGGACACCACTTGAGAAATCTGACTATGAAGCAGAGGTAGGACTGTGGTTGGAGAGAAATGAAGGTAGAAACGAGAGGAATGGCATGTTTAACAACGGATGCAAAAAGCCAATGCAGAAAGAAAAAATACAGACCAATTATCAATAGAATTCATGAGAGAGAGGAGGTACGATTCCAGCACATGTTGAATAACTAACCTTCACAAGAGGAGGGATACTTCCTGCACAGGAAGAGGAGGGATGCAGTGAATGCAAATGCATTTGTGTACATTTATCCCATGGCTATTTTTTCCTGTGAACCAAGAAATCAGTTAGCAGATGAAGGGGACATTAGAGTGCAGAGGGTTTGAAACAGTTAAAAAGGGGTTGAAGAAACACAGTAAGATTTTTGGCAGTGCAGACAGCCAAATAAAAGGTGGTGACCATGAATTTACAGTGGTACAAACCCACCAGAAACATGACTTCCAGCTGCAAGGATATAGCAGCAGTGTTGGGTTCATCCAGGATTGGTGTTTTGCCAGGCCGACACATAGGGCAGCAGTACACATGAGCTTAAATTACTTACATCTGATGAAGTCTAGTCAACCAAAAGCCACCAGGCTCAAGCCTGTTATCTGACAAAATCATTTATTGACTTGCAAACAAGGGAGCACACTACAGAGGAATCGAAGATGGTGCACTCCACAGGGGGAGAAGGGTGCCATCTTCGGTTAGGTTTGAGTTCCTGTTGAAGGTTAAAGTTCCAGCTGAGAAAGCTCTCAGGGAAGGGAGACCAGTTCTGGGTTGGATGCTGTTTCTGCAGCAAGATTAGAAGCAGGGATTAACTGGGGATTGGTTGCAGTCATGAGCTGAGGGCAGTTTAGCAAGTGGGTATCCCTAGTAATAGATAGGTAGAAGCAGTTCTGGGGGTATCACTGGTAACAAAACAGTGATCACACAAAGAGGGAGCCATGATGGCATTTTATAGCTGCCGCATAACCTTGAAAGAAAATGTTTAACTTTGCAGCTGGCTTTCTGTATCTGTCTTCACAATTTGACTAAAGGGACAGCTGTTTTGTCTGAGCTTTCAGTCCTGGACAGGTTTTTCACTTTCCTACCAAATATCCTCCTCCTTAAATGTGACTTTTTAAAAAAAAGTACAACTTAACATATACCTATCTGTCCTCACTATAGATAAGATTTTTTAAAACACCTAATTATAGGACTATCCTTACTTTCTGACAACACCCAATCTAGAGTAAACGTCTGGGGTTTTAGACCATCCCCAAATGACACAACCAAAGGCCAAATCCTTTAAGAGGTTCTTTCTAATACCCTCTTACTGATACACCCCACAGTTCCAAGGTGAGTGTTATCCCTCACTGCAACAACAAACCCAACAAGTTCAAGCACGGGTGTGTTCTTGGCAGTCCTTGGCTGAAGGGCACTGACAACATAAAGACAGAGGGTCTGAGCTGATGACACGACTGTCAGGTTAAGACCAGTATCTGTGTTTTACTGCCAGAACACAACACTATAACATTTACTAGGACCTCTGTGTCCCTTGCTTGTTGGAGACTTGTACTAATATTCCCTGCAAGACTTTAACATGTTTCTGTTGAAGACATGGCAATCCTAAAGGCCAAAAATTGTGGCACAGGGCCAACTCTTCCCTTCATTATGTACCATTGCAGTTTTAAAACTTGTCCACACATTCCTTGATGGCCTGATAGGGCTTTAGTGACTCACTTAGAACCAAGAGAATGTAGTGGAAGTATTGCTACATGACTTCCAAATGCAGCTTCTTCCTGGGTCTTCGGAAATGTCCGCTCTCAGAATCCAGCCAACATGCTGTGAGAACTCTAAGCCACATGGACAAGTTCCAATCTAGTCCTGGCTTAAAGTCATCTCAGTCCAGTCACCAGCCAAATGAGATGATTCCAGATGATTCCAGCCCCCAGCTGTTCCAGCTACCCCCAGCCTTGTTTTCTCAGCCTAGGCCCTAGACATTACAGAATAGAGAAAAGACATCCCCACTATGCCCTGTCCAAATTCCTGAACCACAAAATCCATAAGCATAATATAAAATGGTTGTTGTTTTAAGACACTACATAAGTTTGGGTTTTTTTTTTTAATTTTTAAAAAGATGACCAGTAAGGGGATCTCAACCCTTGGCTTGGTGTTGTCAGCACCACGCTCAGCCAGTGAGCTAACCGGCCATCCCTGTATGGGACCCGACCCCGGGGCCTTGGTGTTATCAGCACTGCACTCTACCGAGTGAGCCACGGGCCAGCCTGGGTTTGTCTTTTTTTTTTTTTAAGCAGCAGTATCTGAAACATGCATTGATCCTGTTGGTAGCTACTGTGAATACAGTAGTTGGTGACTAGTAGGACAAGTAATGGATAGTTACTCAGAGAGCAACTGTCAGAAGTTTAAAGTATATCCAGTTAGCATTCCTTGGTCCCTGGTCTAATGTACTGCCCCTTCCCTACATCTCCTCCCCCTCCAATATTTATAGTAAGTCCTATTCATATCTTTAGAGAATTGCAGATTATGATAGCCACTATGTTACAGGAGCCATTCTGAAAAAAAATATTACAACTTCCAAAAATCCCAATTATATAAATACTTCCCTTTTACAATAAGGAATCTAAAAGTTGTAATGTTAGGGTGGCTGGTTGGTTAGAGGGTGGTGGGGTAAAACCAAGGTCAAGGGTTCAGATTCCCATATTGGCTGGCTCCTTTCCCTTCAATTTAGAAGTTGTAATGTTTTATATTTGGTAGTTTTTCTAGGTAGACTCACTTGTTATTGAACTGAATTTTTTTTTTTTTTTTTGTCTTTTTCCGTGTCCGGCAACGGATCGCAACCCTCAGTGTTGCCCCCATACCGGACCGGGGACCGGCAACGAGATTGCAACCCTCGGTGTTGCTCCCGCGCCTCGCTCAGCCAGTGAGCGGGAACCGGTCTGTATGTGGGATCCGAACCCTCAGGCGGGAGCGCCGCCACGCTTCCCAAGTGGCGCACTATCCAGTGTGCCACCGGGCCGGCCCTGAACTGAATTCTTACTCAGCAGACAATGAATAGAATATTTTCTACCCTATTATGGTTTTCCTGATTTCACACCTTTAAGTAAATTATGTCATCTAAACAAGAGCATCTTTAAAATACCAGAATGCTACTTGAAAAACTTAGAGGAAACAAAACTAAGCTTTATTTTCAAACTCTAATTTTAATTCAGACTGAACAAACAAGCAGAAAAGTGAGAAAATTAACTGTAATAGCAGACACAGACGTACTAAATGTAAAACAGTGGGTTATTAACAGAACTATTTACATGCATATTTACAAGCAATTCTTTTGTACATACATCTTCCTTTCAGTTAGTTGGAAAAAGATTGACATTAGGTAAAAATATTACTTAAATAGGGCTGAGGTGGTACCACATTATAATAAAAGTATTAGAAAAGTGATCCTCAAGGTGTATCAATTATAAAGCAGATGAAAACTTGAATGACAAATATCTAGTAAAATTCTCTAGTAAAAAAGTCAATGCAACCCATGCTACAAAATAAAAATGAGAAAGCCGTATAAACAAAGAATAATGTTCAAGGCCTTAGGGTAATGAAGTTAGTCAGGAAAAATGAACAATTCTAGAACTGGAATAAATCCTCAATGAAGAGTCTTGGTCATTTAGCTGGGAGTTCTCCAAGTTTTTTTTTTTAAACGTTTTTAAAGCCCTTGGTATCAAATAGCATCTGCATTTGTAAATCAGTAGTTAATGATATATTCTAAAACTTTAGTGCTAAAGATTTTCATGATTGTGATTCACATTTGAAACTCAATTCATTGAGACACTAAATGTTAAATTAAAATGAAAATTACTCATATCTAAAAGGATGCTACATTTATGCAGTAATACGTACTTCCAGACTAAGACTTTCCCCTCAAGAAAAGTAGAATTTAAAGAATAAGAATCTAACCAGCTAGCAAGATTTACTTTCAACATTTCTTTTATTTCAAAATTGATTTTATTGCAGCCAAAACAGTGGAATTAACTGTACATAATAAACTATTTTATATATATACACATTTTAAGTTATAGGGAATAAATTTTATTTTGGCAGATAGTGTTAAACAAAATTAAAGTTGCATACATTAGTAATATAACTCAACATCCTTAATTTGGTATAAGTGTGACACATTTTCTTGCTTTTCACCATACCTAAACTGCTTTATAAAACTGATATGCTGAAATTTTGCTAAATCACCATACCTAAACTGCTTTATAAAACTGATACACTGAAATTTAACTTTACTGTTTTCGCTTACGCTCTGATTCCAAACAAAACTTTTCATAAGCTTCCTCTATCTCTGGGTCCATCTCATCATCAATATCATCCAAGTATCTGTAAAAGAAGCAAAGACGATTCATAAGTCTAATGTTTTTCAATTCAGAAAATGTCTAAAAAGGTGCTAAGCTCCCCTCCCCCACCAAAAAGAATGTATGTGACATACCTTTCCTAGAACAAGTTATAATACAAGCGTAACTTTAGAATTACATAAATGGCAGTCCTCAGACAACTAAATGCTTAATTTGATTAATGAAGTTTTACACTGATTCCGAGTGCCTTGTGTCTGAAGTTAAGATTCTGCTATACTTTTAGACATATGTTAAATTCTGTATCCTAAAAGTTAAATCAAAGGATTGACATACAAACTTTGGGGCTCAAGATTGACATTAACATCATAAAGTTACTTTATCAATAGTTACACCCTAACTACAATATAATTTCAGATATGCCACTCACCTCTAGTGATACGTTAATATTTTACATCTATTTAACATCAGAAAGTTATTTCTGCTATGATTCCTACTAGGTTGTTCCTCTAAAGTCATACCGACTTTCATATCAGGAAGCTATTTTTGATGTCTATTCTAGACTTTTTCCAACTATTAGGTAGTTTTAAATGGTAGAAAGCAAGGCTTTTCACGGTGAAGTACAGGGGAAGAAATTTAAAGTGCCAATTAAGGATTTAATATACACATACACATTCTTACTGAATTCCTATAGCCATCTTAAAGATACACACTACCATCATTTCCATTTTACAGATTTAAAAGACACAGTGGGAGGTTAAATAATGTAAAAATTTGGGGTAAGTATGTGGCAGGGCCAAAATCTGTTTGACTCCAGATCTTCTCTACACTTTTCCTCCACAACACAATGCTCTTTACATCCCCCCTCCCCCCAATAATCACTTCCACATCCAAGTGTGGCAAAACTGTCTTGCCAATCCTATCAATTGCTGATGGGGCTTTTTCTTTGTTTCTTCCCCTTTTCTAGTACTACAAGGTAATGTGTTGCATCAACCACAGCTCATTAAGGCAAGAGAATATGATGCTTACGGAACAAAACTTAAGAGGATAACCTGAAGTTCAATGCCAAGAACAATTTTTTTTTTTTTTAAAGATGACCGGTAAGGGGATCTTAACCCTTGTCTTGGTGTTGTCAGCACCACGCTCACCCAGTGAGCTAACCGGCCATCCCTATATAGGATCCGAACCTGTGGCCTTGGTGTTATCAGCACCACACTCTCCCGAGTGAGCCACAGGCCGGCCCAATGCCAAGAACAATTTTAACTTCCAGTGGTATCCCCAGCAGGGGATACCTGCTAGTTCTGCCCAGGTCCTTATGGCCCTAGATATATTTTTTCTATTAAAGTAGTATATAAAAGTATGGCAACATTATACGTGTATTTGTAGATCTCAGACTGACCCATAAGTAAAATGTCACTAGAATAAAGATTTTTTTTTTAAAACCTACAACACACCAGAGATAAAATATAAGAAAGACTGAAGTCAAAGATGCAATTTATCTCCCCTCCAACTCCTACTTAGAAAGAAAAGAACCTAAGCAGCTTGTCAAAATTCCTGCAAATTAAAAGAGCTAGGACTAAACCTCATGCGTTTACTGGCCTTCTATAATGGTGCAGTACAGATTAAAGGTGTCTTTAATTACAGACTGGCAAGTGAAGAAACAGATATGAGAAGAGGACTGTAACATATCATCCTATCAATCCAAACATTTTATTTAATAACTTGTTTTCTTTACTCTTAATTTATCCTTTAACAGATGATACTTGAGCCTTTCCCTATGTGCCAAAGGCTGTCAAGCATTTATGTATTCTCATTAGTTCTCAAACAAAACCCAAAAAACTCGAGGGGTACTATGATTCCTATTTTATAAATGGAGAAACAGACAAATAAGTTGTCAAGATCTTTTTTTTTTTTTTTTTTTTTTTTTTTTATCTTAAGAGAATAAGCTCTTAGTTTAGTGCTTTTGAGACTTGAGAAAGCAGAATCACTCTCTGAAAACCTGTACCCCTCCCTGGATTTGGGGGGGTAAATATCTACGTTTTAAAATTAAAAGAAATATCATCTGCTTTATTCTCTTCAGACTGCACCCTGATCTAAATTTGGGGTGGTGGTGGCTGAACACTTTTTTTTTTAAAGATGACCGGTAAGGGGATCTTAACCCTTGACTTGGTGTTGTCAGCACCACGCTCAGCCAGTGAGCGAACCGGCCATCCCTATGTGGGATCCGAACCCGGGGCCTTGGTGTTATTAGCACCGCACTCTACCGAGTGAGCCACGGGCCGGCCCAAGTTGTCAAGATCTTTAAGTATTAGAGCTTTTTATTTAAGTCTAACCTATTTTTAAAAAAATAATTATATTTAAGTATACTATATTTTAAGTTTTTCCCCTCCACTATAAATTTTCAGAATCAGTCTGAGTTCAATATAATTTTCTGAAAAGTTTTTAGTACATAAGCCCTACCATGTAACGTACTATAACACTATTAAATCAAAATGCCATTCTTTCATGTACTTTTTTCTGGTCTAATCTCCACTTACAAATTAGCCACAGAAATTTCATGTAGAAAGTTAAAGAACTTACGAATCACCGGCCCCTGATAAATCTGTTCCATTTTCTTCATAATCTGGAAAAAAGTCTTCTCTTTCAAGTAACTCTTGATATTTCTCTTGGTAATCTATAAGACAACATAAAAGAACCTAAATGCTGGGGAAAAAAAACATACGAAATGACCAGTAACCCCTAAAAATTCTTTTTATTTTGATTTTTTTTATTTAAGTAGATCCAATATAGCAGTAAATTCCCAATTATGTAAAAAAAAAAAAAATAGCTTTCATAAAACTTACATTGTAATTGGCTTGCTTTTGCCCTCCTGCATGCCCATAAATCTTAAGAATTATATAATAGTCCTCTAAATATAAGTTAGAAATCAAAGCCACTGTAATATATCAAAGAACATTCTGCAGCCAATGTGTGCTGTTCACGCTCTCTACTGCTGCTTTCCATTAGAGAAAATACTGATTATATGACTTCTGGGGAAGAACACTCCCTTCCATACTCCTGTTTTTTCCTTCCACAAGGAAGGACTTTAATCAAATTCTCCTGGCTTTCAAGGAGAATTTGGAACTCCCCCATTATTCCTCCACAGGGAGATAAGATAAGCTATCTGGCTAGTAGGTAACAGCAACTGGTCCATGTTTCTCATTTCTCAATCAGATGAGGTTAACCTATCAAACGTTCCGGCATATGGAATTTTCTATTCTTTCCTTCCCTTAGAGACAGGGAGAAAGCAGCTACCTGGTAAATATTTCAGCTCTGCCAACTTTCTCTTGGTTGGGCCTTCCAAGATAGTACAAGTGATATTATGGCTCTCCACCTGCCAACTGTGTTAGAGTTACTGGGTACCTTTTAAGATTAGTATGTCTATATGGAGTCCTTACATCTAAATAATAAAATGGATCAGTGTATTTATTAAGACTAGTTACCTTTAAATTAGTATCTGATGAATAGAAGCCACCTCAAATTTTGAAAGAATACTATCATTATATTAGGCTGGATAAAAACCATGTTTTCACAAGACCGTCAGTCTCTATAAAATTCTAACTACAGCTCAAGGGATGCTGACATTTTGACATCCAATTTTGACATTTTAAGAGACAATTTTAACCATAAAACCTTCCTGCTACAAATGCTTGAGGTACTAGATAAGACAGACATTCTTTTAAATGTATGGATGAGTTCACACGCACAAAAATCAAGGCACCAGATGATAAACAAAAAGGAACTGAAAGCTGTACATAAACCACTGCAGCTGGGAGGCTGACAGATGGTGTTGGTCTCAGTAACCAAAAGGTCTGCATTTTAAAGCCCACTGAAGGTCAGAAAGCTCGATTCTGGGCCCATGTAAAACAGGAAAATGGAATACATGCTGCACAAGCATTTCACCCCCAAACACTTGATACCTTAAGCAAAAGGTGGACCAGGAAAAAAACACAACATCTTAGTGGCAAAGGGAGATAGCAAGGAAACTTGGCTGTCTCTGCCTGGGTTTGAAGTAAGGACAGAGCATTCCGGAGAAACTGGCTCCCCAGGGAATTTGTAACAATGGGCCTGCACCTCAAATTTCTACTACCCACATAAAGAACCCCTATGACAAGAAAATAAAACTTGTTCCAAGGCAGTGATACCCTTCTGGCTCCTGGCAAATATAAAACCATTTCAGATAGTGTTGTCTACAATCAAAGCCACAAGAGGTTTCCATGAAGAAAAACAAAGATAGTTAAAACCATAAAATATCCATTTAGGGACAGAATACAAAGTAACCTAACTTTAAATGGTTGGGGCGGGGGGGGGGGGGGGGGGGGGGGGAGTATGTGTAGAGAGAGTACAACTGATAAGGCAAATTGAATAAACTTAAAGTATATCTGGGTAAAAGGTAGATAAATATTCTTTGTACAATTTTTACTTTGTAACTTTGCTGAAATCATTTCCTAATAAAAGTTTAAGAAATATAGCTAAAGATGCGCTTGCAATAATAATAAGAAAAAAAAAATCAAGGGCCGGCCCCGTGGCACACTAGGGAGAGTGCGGCGCTGGGAGCGCGGCGACGCTCCCGCTGTGGGTTCGGATCCTATACAGGACTGGCCGGTGTGCTCACTGGCTGAGCGCGGTGCAGGCGACCCCACCCCAAGGGTTGTGATCCCCTTACCGGTCACGAAAAAGACAAAAAAAAAAAAGAAAAAAAAAATCAAAACATAAGGAAACAATTTTCTATGTGTGATAATCAGAAACAGCAGGGTTAGAATTAAAAGGTATAATAAAACAAAAATATTTTTAAAAGCATGTTTAGGATGATGAGGAAAAAAGGATTTAAAAACTTTGGGAAAAGGTCAAGATAATTTGAACAAAATGCAGAAACAAAATTCAGCTTGAAAAATCAGACAAAAGAAAAATAAATAGGATTATATCAAACTAAAAATCTTCTGTACAGCAAAGGAAACAATCAACAAAGTGAAAAGACAACCTGCAGAATGGGAGAAAATATTTTCAAACTATGCATCTGACAAGGGATTGATATCCATAATGTATACGCAACCCAAACAACTCAATAGCATAAAAAATAGTCTGATTTTAAAAGTGGGCAAAGGAGCTAAATATTTCTCAAGAGAAGACATACAAATGGCCAACAGGTATACGGAAAAAATGCTCAACATCATTAATCAGAGAAATGCAAATCGAAACCACATTGAGATATCATCTCACCCCAGTTAGACTGGCTAGTATCAGAAAGACAGAATAACAAATGCTGGTGAGGATGTGGAGAAAGGGGAATCCTTCTATATTGTTGGTGGGATTACAAATTAGTACACCCATTATAGAAAACAATATGGAGGTTTCACAACCACAGAACTTCTATATGATTCAGCAATCCAACTACTGGGTATATACCCAAAGGAATAGAAATCATCATGTCAAAGAGATATTTGCATTCCCATGTTTATCACAGCTCTAGTCACAATAGCCAAGATATGGAATATGGAACCAACCTAAACATCCATCGATGGACAACTGGATAAAGACAGTATGGTATATATACACAATGGAATACTAAGCCATAAAAAATGAAATTCTGCCATTCTCAACAACACAGATGAACTTGGAGAAAATTATGTTAAGTGAAATAAGCCCCAAGCACAGAGAAATACTGTGTTCTCAATCATAAGTGGAAGCTAAACAATAAACAATAACGATAATAAGTTGAACTTTCAGAAAGAGAGAGAACTGTGGTTACTAGAGATGGGAAAGGGGAAGGAGGATGAGGGTTATTGAGAGGTTGGTTAATGGACACAAAACAGTTAAATAGGAAAAATAAGTCCTATTGGTATATAGTCTAGCTAGGCATCTATAATTAATAGTAATTTACTGCATGTTATCAAATGGCTAGAAGCCAGATCGAATGTCCTCATTGCAAAGAAATGATTAAGATTTGCAATGATGAATATGCTAATTAATTTGATCACTCCACATTGTATACATGTATTGAAATATAACTCTGTACCCTACAGATATGTATAATCAATACATTTCCACAGTAAAAAGAAAATCCAAACTGAATTTCTATAAACAAAATAGTTATTAAAAATAATTAAAAAGGATAAACGGATTAGACAAAGATGAAGAACAAAGAATTAAAAAGAATCAAGGTAACTTTGAAGAATAACTGAAGAGGGAAGATTTGTCTTACTAGACATAGTTAAGATTTACAGTAAAGTAAGAATAATTAAGAATATGGTATCAGGGTAGAGAGAGACTAACAGAAGAAAGATCCACATAAACAAACACAGGAATCAGACATACAAGTTTATAGAGGAGTTACAAGGTCTACAACAGAGGGGGCTTATTATAACTGAGAGAGGAAGGGTGACTTAATACCTGTTGCTAAGGCAACAGACTATAGAGAAATATTTAACTCCTACTATATCCCATATACAAAAATTAGCCAGGTAGATTAAAGACCTATATATGAAAAGCAACAAAGTAAGATTTCTTTTTTTATTTTTCCCCAAAGCTTCTATATGACAAAACATTATAAACACAATGGAAGACAGCCATATACTGGGAGATGATAACTGAAACCCTTAGTTGATTAAGGATCACTTCTCTAGACTATATAAGGAATTACAAATCAATAAGAAAGACAAATGGTCCAATAGAAATACAGGCAAAGAGTACAAATAGGCAATTCTCAAAGAAAGAAATCAAAAGGTTGGGCCGGCCCGTGGCTCACTCGGGAGAGTGTGATGCAAGGCCATGGGTTCGGATCCCATATAGGGATGGCCGGTTAGCTCACTTGGGAGAGCGTGGTGCTGACAACACCAGGTCAAGGGTTAAGATCCCCTTACCGGTCATCTTTTGTAAAAAAAAAAAAAAATCAAAAGGTCGACAAAAACAGGAGAAGCAATTCAGAATCATTAGTCAGGAAAATAAAATGACAGCAAGAAAGAATTTCATACAAAGTGACAAAAATTATGTCTGATATTAACTGTTGCCAAGGATGAGAAGCAGGAACTCTTAGATGCCGCTGGTGGTAATATTAAGTGGAATAATCACACCAGAAAGCAATTTAGGAACATTAAGTAAAGTTGAAAATGCTTATTCACAGCCTATAACTTAATTCTATTTCCTCACCCTAAAGAAACTTCTTTGTGCTAGAGGCACAGGATAGTCAATGACTGCTATCCAAAATACACAAATAGAAAAATTCCAAGGTTGTAACAAATGGGAAAAATTTCTCTTCCTTAACCTGCAGTTCCATCTATTACAATTAAAGCGATCTTTTCATAAATGACCCTTTTTTGGAAGAGGAAGTATGCAGAGATTTAGACTAATTCTGGCCCACCAAGTATTGAAGAAATCTTAATTCTCAGTATCAACAAGCATTAACCAATATTAATATAAGCTGCTGAATATATAGTGACCTAGAACCATATTTCCCTTCTATACTAACCACTTGAAAGTTTAAGAGTACAAAAACAAAATATTAGAGTAAATATAAAATAAAAATGGTTGAATTCATTTGAAGGATTCTTCCAATCCTCTGTTAAAGTAGAGTGATAAGACACTATACACAGGGTCAGACTCTCACTTGAAATGCTTTAAGTGGTCACCATGAAGAATACTCTAAGACAAACCTTTACCCTAGCATTTTAGAATGACGTGAACACATTAAAAAACTAATTTTGTGCTGGTGAGAATGTGGTTTTCCGTAATTTACTATTTTACCAAGAAGTTGGGGGAAAAACGGCTCTGAGACAACATACCTGGATCAGCTGCAGTGAAAGGAACACCATCAGATGTATAAAATGTTGGTTCATTCTAGAATGAATCAAAGTGATAAAAATATGTAATCATTTCAGAACTTTTTAAAAAATATGTTAATTAATGAAGCATGGATAATGTCATTTGTCTGCACTGATAATGCAAGAGAGCAAGCAAAACAACTTCCTAACAGCCACTTTCATTTCACTGGGAAAGCCTATGGTTTTCATATTTCCATTTTATCACCTCAAGTTCTTGTGGTTCTCAGGCTGGCCATTACCTCAGCTGGTTAGAGCACGGTATTGTAACACCAAGGTCAAGGGTTCGGATCCCTGTATCAGTCGGCCACCAGAAAAAAAATTCTTGTGGTCCTAACCCTGCTGTCTGTCTGTCATATCCATAGTAAACTGTCCTACTGTGCACTGTGATTTAATGTCAGCTCAATTTTAGCTGTGGTTCTCTCTACCCTAACATTTCTTTAAGAATTTCTACAACCAAGTCTGTAGGAGCATTCCTCTATGGTTTATGTTTGGTTGTGTCAGGAGTTTCACGGCATCATTAGCCTGGTAACCATTTTTTAAAAATTTTATTTACTTTGCTACAACATGTATAGTCAAAGTCTGAGATGCAGGTCTTTGTTTATGAATTCTCTAGAAAAACTGCTTCCTGGCATCCCTATGCTCACTTAAGTGCAAGCTTTATCAATCTGGAGGATTCCAGGGTGGTTCTCTTTATTTACCTGCTCTGCTGGCTGCCATGCGACCCTAAGGCATTTAAGTCTGGGAATAGCTTTATTTAACTCACCTAATTTCCAAAACTGAATTCAAGCAATAAGCAAAACTTAAATTGTAAACGCTGGCATACCATAAAGTAGTTAGGATCATTTTCAGGTGTTGCTTCTCTGTATGTTGAAGTTACATGGACTCTACCCCAGTTACTTGACCGGAGTTCTACAAGCTTCAAGAGCATCTGTTTTACATCTCTGCAGAGAAAAGTCAAAAACAAGTTAAAGTATATGCACCATAAGTATTGTCAGGCTCTAAAATAACTCACAAATTCCTAAAACTTTATTTCCTAAATTTAACATGTACATACAGTGCTTTCATTTTCTAGATATTTCCTATAATACATATTCACCTTTAAAAAAAAACCAAAACAAAACAAAACAGCCTTGACTATGTGGTCCTTAAAGGCAGTGGCTATCCTTCAAACATTTTTATGTCTCCTACTATGCTTACAGTAGTACTTTACTCATGTATTTGTTAAACGAGTCTGAAGCATTTTATTTTTCATGGGACTCATATCTTACCATGGGAATATCTTAACTTTTTCAATTTCTAAACATAATTGAACAAGAATGGCTAATGAGCAGAAACTACAGGTAAAATATTACACTTTTAAAGAAAATACTTCAGTAAACCAACATGTAAATTTTCAATTACTGTAATGAAGTTTAGCAGATTAAAAAACAATCTCCAAAGAAAAAGCAAGAAATTGAGATCAACATTACTCTTTTCCTACCTGCTACAGTTTGCATCTAGGACAACATTTTCAATTCTCTGAATAATTTCTTCCATATCAGTCTTTCCTTTTTCCTTCCAGGCATCTTCCAAAACCGACCCTGTCAACTAATAAAGCAAGTGCCAGTAAAATGAGAAATTCAATGGAGTGTAGAAATTCTAAAAAGTAAGATATTAGTAGCAGTTCAAGCATTCTTTAAACAAAATGAACTTGCCAAGTTAAGTATCCCCCATTATTCTGTTTACCATCTAATATTCAAAGATCCTTACACCCTCTGTTTTTCTTGACTGAGATAAGCTACAGGAATAAACTATAGAACTTAAATCATGAGTTTGAATCATGAGTGACTATATGTTATATTCCTTATATGACTAAAATAGGCTATTACATTATTACTTTTTGAAATATGCAACATACAAATGTAGAAGCTTTAAATAAAAAAAAAAACACTCCATCAGGAAAAAAATTAGTTAAGGATATAAACTGGTAATTCACAGAAATAAAAAAATGGATAATAAAATGTGTAAATTCATTAATGATCAGAAAAATGCAAAGTAAAATGAGGTTTTGTTTTTACTCATCATCTATGACAAAATAAAAACCAAGATGATTATATCCATCACTATAAGGATGTGGGGAAAGAAGTGTACTCATTCACTACTGACAAGAGTACACTCTGGTTTAGCATTTGGAAGGAAAGTTTGCCATTATTTGAAAATATAAAGTACATTATAAAATCATGCCCACTAACCTACCAAATCTATGTTTAGGAATTTAACCTACAGAAATATCTGCACATATAAAGACATAATGAAAGATTAGTAGCAGTGCCTCAGTGGCTAAACCGAAAATAACCCAAATAGATAAACAATGTATATGCATACAATGTAATACTAGGATGTTACTCAATAAAGCAAATCCATGCACCATGGGAAGATCTAAGGCCTCTCATTAGGAGGCAAAAATAAACACACACACACACACACACACACACACACACACGCACAAAGCCACAACAGAATAAGATTATATTTATAAGAGCACATACAAAGATATGGAAAGGGAATTTACAGATGGGAATGGAGTATAGGACTTCCGTTTTTCAACTTCTGAACCTTACTGCTTATATTAAATAGTAAGGATATATTGCTTTCCAATATATTTGGGAGCAAAGTAAAATGTCAATATTTAACTTACAGTAGTAAATTAACCTTGAATTCATTTGTGTACTATATGTACTTTCCTTCCCCTAAATTGTAAATTTAATGAGTAAAACAGTTAAATTAATAAGAAAGTAAAACCTACCTTCAGTAATTTTACTGCACAAATTAAGTTGTCATCCATAGGATTAGAAAAGAGAGCATTCAGCAACTCCCGAAGACCAACCTGAAGAATATCTGCTCTTGTAACTTGTCCATTTGTTCCTTTGATCTTTTGGGGCAAAAGAAAATCAAAAGCAACAATGCCAAAATAAAATAGATACATAAATGGTCTAATAAGAGGTTGGCAAAATAAATGTTCTAGTTAAACAATACATAACTCATAGGAACACACTGTGGTACCCTCACAGAATTAGTTAGAATTACTTTATATGTAACTAAGACCTCTAATGAAACTGGTAAGCTATAGGTAAAATTTAATTTCCATGTCAGCATGGCCAGGATAATTTAAGAAAGTTCACTTTGATGTTACTGCTTCATAAAACGTTCTCTAGTTTGTTAAACTACCACCTTTTCTGAACCCACAGCATTTTATTCTGCTTTTTATAGTATTTTAGAATATTCTAGCTAGGGGAATTTTAGGTGCAGGTACTATGCCTTATCTTTACACTCCCCACAGACTGAGCATCTCTACTTCCTCATAGGAAATACACAACAATATTCTTAAAATAACTTCATTTGAGGCACATTTTAGATTGATACTTATTTTGGCTTGTATGAAAATTAGACTAAAAGAGAACAAGGCATAAGATGTTTAAAAAATTAAGTCCACTTTTGGTAAAAAGAGATAGTAAATTAGGCACTGGATGGATATAGACCTTTATCAGACACTGACTGAGATGCACATTTGATGGTAGATTCATGTGTCTTATGATGTTTATGATAGTATGGTGTTTATGATATGAGGTTCTCAAATCAGGGTTTAAGAAGGTATAAATCTTTATCTGGGATTAATGAAAGAAAAAAAAAAGTCAAGCAAATCCATTACACAGTAATATCCAGCTCTTAAGTTGCCTACTAACAAGCATATACTCAAGTTCACCACCTAAATTTACAAACACGTTTAGCTGTAGACTTTATACGAATGCATTTTACATGAAAGATTAATATATAAAATAGGACAAAAAATAACTTCTTGGGGAGTGAGGGGATTGAGATGTTGGTCAAAGGACACAAAATTCTAGTTAGGAGGAATAAATTCAAGAGATCTAGAGGCTTCCGGTCAAGATGGTGGAATAGACAGTCCCCAAGGTCACACTCCCACAAATCAACCAATTTACAACTATAAAAAAGCAACAACAGCCGAGCTGGGGCCATTAGAGCTCACGGGAAGAGGAGGAAAGACCTATGGAGTTCATGAAGGTGGGAGAAGCCACGATGAGAGAAGGAAAAAACTGCTCCAACCACTTTGTGCTGTGGCCACTTTAAGGCTGGAGCTGTTGAGTGCACGGAGAAGAACCCAGCAAATGCCACAGCTGTGCCCTTCGGATGAAGTTGCTTGAAGGTGGCATGGGAGAAGAGGGCGTTGGTGGCTCCCAGGCCGACAAGACCACTAAATAGGGTTGCCGTGGATCCACATAGGAGGAGCCACAACGACTGAAAAAAGGAAGCCACTCAGAGGCCAGTGAGTCATCACAAGGGACCAGCGTAGCGCCTGTCACATGGAAGTGTTTGCAGCACTGGCAGTGGGGGTGACAGGCCCACCGGGGGAATGCTGGGGCACAGCAAGGCCAGCTGACTGGCACCCCAAGCAACAAAGGAACACTCAGAGGAGACTGGTCAGGAATATGGAATTGCATGGGGTGCAGTTTGATGAAAAGACTCAGGCCTAGATCAGAGTTTCTACACAACCCAGGTGCACTGGGTCTCTGGAGAGCCAGAAGTACCTATAAGGTCAACCATTAAAACCTGAGCTGCACAAAAAGCCTTCCCTAGGTTATCAGCAGCAAAGCAGCAATTTAGCTAAACCACACAGCTCAAGTACTGGTTCCCACAGGAAGTCCCCCCATTTAAAGTAAACAAAGGACAACAAATTAGTTCTGGCCCCACCTGGGGGTCCTGAGGCATGGAGCCAGAGACCAAACCTGCCTCCCACAACCAGGCACACCACCAGCACCTCAGGGCCTGCCTGGGGACCTGAGGCAGGGATCTGGGGACCAGACCCCTCTCCCACAACCAGGCACACCATCAGCACCAAGGAGCATGCATGTGGGTGGCCAACCACAGCCACCACAATAACCACAGCTGCCACAAAAGCAGCTAGGTGCCACAATCACCACACAGATGGTCTGCCAGCCACTGGACTGCACTGACACCAGCAGAGACCACAGAAAAGAAGAGGATGTCTTTCTCCACAAAGCCCATTCCAGAGTGACAGAAGAAGGATCTGCTCTACAGTAATACTGGGGGACCTGAACACACCTCTCAGCATTGCGTGGATCATCTAGGCAACAAATCAGAGTAACCATTACCCTTTCAGAGAAAGAAAATCTAGGGTTATCAGAGGTGGGAGGTGGGACAGAGAGGGGGACAGGGAGAGATTGAATAAGGGGCATAAAGAATAAGTACTATTTATTTATTTATTTATTTTTTTTTAAAGATGACCGGTAAGGGGATCTTAACCCCTGACTTGGTGTTGTCAGCACCACGCTCAGCCAGTGAGCGAACCGGCCATCCCTGTATGGGATCCGAACCCGGGGCCTTGGTGTTATCAGCACCGCACTCTCCCGAGTGAGCCACAGGCCGGCCCGAATAAGTACTATTTATAACAATTATATGCTAGTAATACTGATTTGATCAACATATCTCAACGTTGAACCCCCAAAATAGGTATAATCACGATTTAATAAAATTTTTAAAAAAGATCTATTACATCATGATATATTATTGTCTACTTGAAAATTTCTGTGTTCTTACCACAGAAATATAAGTATGTGAGGTAATGCATGTTAAATTACCTTGATTTAGCCATTCTTCTACAATATATACCTATATCAAAACATGTTGTGTACCATAAATATATAATTTTTACTTGTCAATTAAAAAAGTAAGGAAGCAAAAATTTTTTAAAGAACTATTCTGGGTGAGTTAAGGTGAAAAGCCAGAAACTCAATTCTCTCCTTTTCAGTCAAAGCTTTGTATTCTGCAGAGAAGTTGCTTTGGGCCACCATCTAAAAGTCAGCATACTAAAGGTATTTATATTTATGATGCAAGGACTCAAAAAGGTATCACTACCTGTATCTCAAAAGCCTAAACTCACATGTAAACCACAGTTTCCTAAAAGAACATAATGACTTTAAAAAGGTAAATGATCATTTCCCATCATCCTGCCCATAAGCAGAGAAGCAAATGCTACAGACGTTCATTAGAGTACAGATGCTACCATGAGTATATACATTTTCTCCCATTCCTTCTTTCATTTCACTCTTAAAATGTTGTAAAAGTACAATGTGAACACACTGATTCTTTTTTGAGATCAGTTTATTTTCTCAAGCCTTGTCAGTACTTAAAAGAAAAATTTCTCCTTACCTCCAGGTTAAGATAAAGTTCTCCCAGAAAGAGTACAAATGCATGAAATCGTTTTCGAGTCACTTCGTCCCCTTTCGCAGCTTGATCTTTAACTTCATATTCAGTCCGACATCTAATAAAGACATATATTTTACACTCTCGCATTGCTTTGTTTTTTAAATAGTCAAACAAGATGACCATCTGCCAGTTTGGTTGTCCACAGCAATAGAGGCAAGCACAATGCTCCTCCGCCCTGACTTTCTATAATAAAGAAAAAGTGTTCCTGTCTACTGACTAGACTATGCCCCATCCTTTTGTACTAAGTCTCCAGTTTTAAGAAACTGATAGTTTTATTTTGAACTATTCCTATCAAATCAAGTTTGTAATATGTTTAGGCAACATAGGTTTCATAAGGTTCATAGCATACTAGCACCAAAAAAGAAAAAAAAAGGCCTCACTTTGTCTTTTAGGCATTTTGTTAAGTACTGCTTTACCCAAATTGCCCCTGTAAATGTTTTTTTTAATATAAGAACTTTGGGGCCGGCCCGGTGGCGCACTGCGATAGTGCGCCGCTTGAGAGGCGCGGTGGCGCTCCCATCGAGGGTTCGGATCCCACATACAGACCGGTTCCCGCTCACTGGCTGAGCGAGGCACGGGAGCAACCCCGAGGGTTGCGATTCCGTTGCCGGTCCCGGTCTGGTACGGGGGCGACACTGAGGGTTGCGATCCGTTGCCGGACACGGAAAAAGACAAAAAAAAAAAAAAAAAAAAAA